CTAATATCAAAACCGCCGCCCCCTTGTATAGCATACGCGTTCCACAGAACTCCCAAACATGAAATCAGCCCACAAGACTAAACCCTAAACCGAGCCTAAACCCCAATACCTAAACCCTGAACCCCAAAATTCAAAAGAGATAAAACTACAGTTAACTAGGGCTTAACATCTTCGGAACTAGGGGGAGGGTCCACAGCATGACTCTTAAAGATTAGGGATCTCCTTGATGTCCAAAATATTGTTTGTTGTTGAATGGTCTTTGTAAAGGAATTACAAAAATATGAATGCGAATCGACTTGGTTTATTGAATCCTTTCAAACTCAGTTCTAATTAGTCTAATTAGAACTTAGATAGATTTGAACTGATTTGTAAACTAATAAATTTGATTTCGATCGACTTCAAAAAAGATCCAAAATGATTTGATTACGATTGTAAACTGCTTTTTATTACGTAGATTTAAACTGCCTTTAGCTCGAGTTTGATTTGTTTTTTTGCGGTTTTAATTAGGTCTACTCGGGTTTCTGCTCCGTTCCATGGATTTCAAGTAGATTTCAGCAGGCCCTCATTACATCTCCCCTATGGCTGGGGTCGTGTGATGAATACACATCCTTAATGCTAAATACGGGTTGGAGTGCATACACCAGGCAGGGGGCTTTGATGTTAGGGGGGAATGATTCTCAACTATTGAGTTTGGGTTCCTAGACCCAAAACCCTAAATCCACAACCCTAAACCCTAAACCCTGAATCCTAAACCCTAAACCCTAAACCCTAAACCCTAAACTGCGCATCACACGACGTACGTCATGGCTGACTGATCGACGGAGCTGTTGGACTGGAGCTTGCACTTCTTGGCACTGCCTGGGCTCATCCTTACAGCCTAGTTCCGAGGGTTTAGGGTTTAGGGTTTAGGGTCTACCTGAACCCCAACAGTATGTAGAATAATAGCCTTTCGGGCTGTTTTGAGTGGTTTTGGGCTATTATTTTACCTACTTTGGGGGTTTAGGTAGTTCCTTCAACCCTGAATCCTGAATCCTTAGACCCTATATGGGTGGTTGTCAAAATTATGGTCCCTTTTTGGGTACCCTAAATACTAGGTGCCGTATTATAATAGGGATCCAAAGAGGGACCATCATTTCGACAACCACCAATATACATTTTCAGGATTTCACGCTTGGAGTTGAGGGTGTGCTGTTTGCAGCCTAGGCTTCAGGGAACGTATAATCTGGGCTCACGGGTTTGTGGAGTCTAGTCATCCCAATGTAGCCTTTAACTCTTAGTCCACAATCCTTCCACGGGGCTATGGAGTCTTGAGTACAGCAATTCAGTTGTATGAGACTTGATTGAAAGAGAAGAAGAGAGTCATACAGCAACGGAACTATGATGTGGGCAGCAACGTGCGCTAGTCTCAGGTTCTCAAGTATCCTTGCCTCGTGGTTGTTAAAGACAGGAAGGCGCGCAGCACAGGGACTACCGTCTGTCCAGACCGCAGTCTCATCCTTTACACAAAATTAGTGGGATACATGTTCCAAGCAAGCCCAACATGTCAAACAGAGTCTTCTGAAACTTCCACATGGTGATCTTGAGAGCAAAGTGACTTCTACGAATGGCGACGACTGACTTACTAATCCTTTTCTGTTTTCCGGTTTCTAACAACTGTGGCGCCCTGGGAACCCTAAGGATACATGGGACTCGTCAGGAGGTTATGCTACACAAGCTTCCCTAAACCCTAAACCCTAAGAGCCTCCCCTAAGGGTGTTTTTTTTTCCAAGGTTTGGC